TGTCATATACTCAGTGATCTATGAAAGAACTGAGTAACACATGTTCTCACTCATAAGTGCACCCCAAACATTTATCATAATACTACATGAAAGAGATTGGCAGTAGTGGGTCACTGCCAGGGGAGGGAGGAAGGAGCCCCTAATATTCATAAAGGTACTTGATCCCAAACCAGACAAAGTGAGAACCAATGGGAGGCCCAAACTTCACCTGTACGGTGACCACTTTTGTACCTGACCCTGAATTGTACCCCATATCTTTAAAATAAATTTTTTAAAATAATAAAAAACATGAATGAACAAAGAAAATGTGGTATAGACACATAATGGAATACTATTCAGCATTAACAAGAGAATGAAAAAAAGGAAAGAAATTCTGTCATTTGTGAACATGGATGAACCCAGAGGATGTTATGCTAAGTGAAATAATAGAAAGACAAGTATTCATGATCTCACATTCATGTGGAATCTAAAGAAGTTGAACTCACAGAAACAGAGAGGAGAATGGTGGTTACCAAGGGGTGAGGCGTGGGGAGAGTGGGGAAATATTGGTGAAAGGACACAAAAATTTAGATAGGAGGAATAAGTTCAAGACATCTATTCCACCACATGGTGACTATAGTTAATAACGATGTATTGTATTTTTGAACATCACTGAGAGTAGATTTTATGTGTTCCCACCACAAAAATGATAAGAATGTGAAGTAATGCAGCTCAGTTTAGCCATTCCACAAATGTATATACATGTTAAAACAATATGCTGTACATAATAAGTACATATAATTTTTACCAATTAAGAAAATCAATCAATTAAAAAAGGAAGGTAGGAATTGTTTGTCAATTTTTGTTAGCTACCACGCTCTCAGTACCTAGAACAGTGCTGAGCACCAACCAGATATTTGTTTAATGGGTAAGTGAAGGTAGAGACTCTGAGTTGACTCTCACCTGACCCTAACTTACCGTTTCAGACCACTCTTCCCATTTTTTTTCCACCACAAATACACTGTAAGCACTTTTTTTCTTTGATGCTTGCTTCCCTTAATTCCTTGCCTCAGGTCTCTTTGCAAGTTTTGTTCTTTGAATTCCAGATATTGCCATATTTCCTCTGTGAAATTTTCCCCCACCAACTCAAAATAGGGTAATTTCTCCTTCTTTGGAATTTCTCTAACAGTTCTTTTACTAATAACACTCTGCCTAATAAACCAAACAACTTACTTCTTATCTTTCTTTGTCCCGTCTCTCTAACTCAATACCGTTGTCTTTGAGGGCAGAGGTTGTTGTCCTTGTTTTGAAGTCACCAAGCCTCTCATCGTTGCCTTGCCAGTAGTTGTCGCTCAGTGAAATCATTGCTGATGATATAAATACCTTCCCATAGAGGCTGAATGTCTGTGATTGGTAAGTGGAGAACTCCTGAGGTTGACATTGCATTTCCCAGGTGAGTCAGCCAACTTCCTTCTGTTCCTTTGGTGGTGGGAGGTTCCCATGGTCCTGGCAACACACTTGGGGGAGAACAGGTGACACAGGACTAAATGAAGAAATGTGGATGATGGGAAAAAGATGGTCAGATTATTGACCACCTTTAGGTTATTGACATCATCACCATGACCAAAGTCAGGATATTTTAAAATGTCCTTTCCAACTGGGTGCAGTGGCTCACACCTGTAATCCCCTTTGGGAGGCTAAGGCAAGAGGATTGTTTGAGCTCAGGAGTTTGAGAGCCAGTCTGGGCAACATGGCAAGATCTGGTCTCTACAATATATAAATAAAATTAACTGGGCATGGTGGCATGCGCCTGTAGTTCCAGTTCCTTGGAAAGCTAAGATGGAAGATGAGCCATTCCACAAATGTATACACATTTTAAAACAACATGCTGTATATAAGCCTAGCAGATCGAGGCTGTGGTGGCCATGATCATGCCACTGCACTCCAGCCTGGGTGACAGATTGAGACTCCAACACACAAAAAAAGTCCCTTCCTTTGATGCATTAATAACATCACCTTCATATTCGAAGAACAGCATGTAATTAATCTGTTTGTGGGAGAACAAAACATTTGAAATCCACATATTAGATGTTTGAAGATGGTTGTAAAAACTCAAACCCAAAATAAAACTAAATAAATGAGAAGCAGCAGTAGCAGTTATTCACACTTGAAGAATCCAGAATTTAAAAACCGTGAACAGAACCTTGATAAACAGAAAGCGCTGGAAATAAAGTTTAGCTATCATGTCATCTTTATTGCTGGGTTAAATTAACTGTCACCTGGGAATATCGCTGAGAACGCTGAAAACTTTGGTGTCCACCCTAGGAGATACCTGTGTTTAGATGCCCCTCAGAGGTAGATAAATTTACATGTGAAGTAGTTAGTTTACTTGGTCCTGCTTTTTAATCACTGCTCTAAAATGTTTAAAAAAAATTTTTTTTCTGTTGCTTATATAAAAATAGCAATGGATACAATGTGCCCTGAGCAAACAGACCATACATCAATGAATGAATACTTAGCGTAAGCGATTTTCCATGAGACCCATGAAGCATTTCTAATTGAAACTTAACAAGCTACATCCCAGCAAACACTCTAATCTCCAGCTCTAGAAGGGAAATGTGATGCTGTATGCTCTTAAAATTTTTAAATGTAACTGGAAGAGAGTATGACTGAGACGTGGTGTGGTGTAATTTTTTTAATTGCTGAAGTGTCATTGTTTGGTATTTCACATTTATTGAAAAATGTAAATGCCACACTTCAACAGAATGGCAGTAAGTCTTTGTTCCAGTCTGATGAATTAATCTTTCTAATCATGATAATATATGCTAGCTGGAATTATAGCTGGGAATATTTAATAAAAGACCGGAATAAACTTGTTGTGCTTACATTTCAAGGGAATGAATACAAATACTTTCATCTGCAACATTTAAACTTCATTGACTTTAACATTTGCATGAAAGTGTGGGAAATATCACTGGAGGAGAATGGATGTTCCCTTGTGAGGACCTCTGTCATTCAAAGCACAGGCGGGTGTATGGAAACTGAGGCACAACTTACTGGGTAGGGAGGTGAGGCCATGAGTGCAATCTTTCACTTGTCTGGGCTTTCCATTTTCAAGTCATCTTCGTGCACAGTTTTTCACGTGTGCCTCACAAGCCTCTGAGGAGGCAGGACAGACAGATCATCCCCATTTTATAGATGAGAAACCGAGGCTGAAAGATGGTCCTGCCCAGCATCTCAAAGGTGGAGCCCAGACCTCCGACTCTGGATCAAAAGCATTTTGGTTACTCACAAGTCCTATTTACATACATACAAATAGAATCCTTGGGTCTGAGACCACTGTCAAAAGGGCTTCTTAGCAATAGAAAAGGTTTGTGTACGGGGTGTCGATTATGTTGTACGGGATGGGAATGCCTATCTGGGCCAAGTCCCCTCTCCCCCTTCCCTCCCCAGCTCAGGTGGCACCTGTGGGACCCGGGAACCTCTGGCACCGCTATGCCTACAACTTTGCACGGATAAGTTACTGCTAAGTCAGAGCTGAAAGCTAAAATGCGATTATTCATGAAACGGATGCAAGAGGATAATAAAGGTGAATGAAATTTATTCAAAGTCAAAACCTCGATGCTGTGTTTTTCAGGAGAACCATCCACAATTGTGATTTGAAGTCCACTGGGGAATTCCGAGAGATCTGTTAAAGATCAAGCCCTGGTTTAAAACTGTTAAAAGATAACAGTAAAAGGGAGAGCACAGCAGAACCCCAAGGCAACCCATACAGTAACTTTGCCTTTCTCGAAGGCTTTCCATACCGGGGCAGAGGCAGGGCTATCCCTCTGTTCGTGGATGGGATGCGTCTCCACCGAGCATCTTACCCAAGTTCCCTTCTTCTCAAAGTTCCGAACTGGCTCCGCTGTTTTTGCCCTCCGTCTACGAAGTCAGCCTCCGTCGAGAGGTCAGCCTCCGCCTAGAAGTCAGCCTCTCTCTAGGAGTTCAGCCTCTGTCTAGGGGTTCAGCCTCCGTCTAGAAGTCAGCCTCTTTCGAGGAGTTCAGCCTCCGTCTAGAAGTCAGCCTCTCTCTAGGAATTCAGCCTCCGTCTAGGAGGTCAGCCTTCGTCTAGGAGTTCCGCCTAACCGTTCTGGAGCGTCTCCGGGCCTCCGGGTGGGAGAAAAGCGAGGGCAGGCGCTTTCCGCCGCGCGCTCGGCGAGGGCCGGCGGAGGTGGGTGGGCTGCCTTCCCTCCCCGACAAGCCGGCGCGGGGCCGGCAGAGAGCGTGAACTTGAGCGTGCCGCATTCGGCTTCCCAGCCGGGAGGGACGCGTGCGGTTCCCCGACGCCC